AACAATAATCCCAAATACCTCATGTTAACTGCCTCCAACAATCTCTATTAACATTACTGTGGAGTCTTGATTCATTTGAAGCAGCTGAAGAAGGTAGTGGTCTAAATCAAGTCTCTTTTTCTTGTCAGTGTAATAAGGAAATAGATTTCATATAGTAATTTAGTATCACCTGGAGTTAAAAATGAGGAGAAAGAGAAACTATGGCAGTTGAAATATGCTGATATGACTATTTCTTAGGAGATCTTGGAGGATGGAATACAGAACTGTCCTAGGTTAAGATGAGGAGGAATAGTTACTGATACTGACTTAAAAATACTAATACTGTTTAAAAAAATACTATTTAGTTTCATTTGTTTCCTGCATGAGGGTAAGCTTGCACTGTAAAATGCATTTTACATCCAATATTCAATTTATTAGGAAATCAAATAAGATATTGTTTGTATCCTTACTTATATGCAATGCCATTTTCCAGTGTTTCTTTTTTGTTTTTCTCAGTTGGAAAGGTCCCTAAAACCAGATATTTTTCTTATACCATTTTTATAGATATTGCCTTAAATACCATGGATATCTGAACATACTGATCATGTCACTAGAAAAAAATGGCTATTAAAAAGTCTGGTGTTTAAATTCCAGGTGTTAAAATATTTTTAATGTTGAATTGAATTGATAAGTGACCCGTAACTTGAATGCTTTTTGTAACCACAAAAAGCAGTCTTTTTTGATTCATAATACCTCATGAAACACTGATTTTAATTTACTTCTCCTTGAAAGACCTCTCTGAGAATATTTGCATTGTCAGCAGCTTTGACCACAGAAATGATAACTAAATAATTTAGAAAACTGTAAGATTATTTAGGCATTTAAGATGCATATAAGGTAATTAAAACCAAACTTTAGAAGGGTTAAGGCCTTACTGTAGTTGGTGAGTCTACAGCTGGGGTCACTGCCTAAGTTGTAAGAAGGCATATGTTCAATTTACAGTTGTAATGAGGAACATGGGATGTTTTGATTCTTCATTTGCTGTGCTCATCTCTAGAGGATGCAATTGACTATATTAAAAAATGAACATAGGCTCTTTTGTGGATGGGGTAAGATAATACATGCCACATGCATATATAGTTGACATATGGCTTTCCTCTTTGAGTATGGAATTGTTGCCCTTAGCTGCTACCATGGAGCAGCCACATGGAAAGGTGCATTATTAACCACTTAGGAATGAGACCAATTCCTTTGATCTCATTAGTTTGATCATGATTATTCCATTTTAACTAATACATGGTGTTTATAAAGGTGTTTCAGTAGATTATTCACTTGCAAGGGCATTTTGTGTTTTATTTTCTAATCAGCAAAAGAAAAGAGAAATGCATGTTCTAAAGTTTTCTTCTGTCTCCTACTGAATGTATACAAGACATAGTAAAAGACATAAAGTTTTTTCTTTTTTATTTTATAATTTTTTAAAAACGAATGGCATTTGAGTTCCAGATTTTTTTTCTACATGTTGATATATTTGAAAATACTAGTACATATTCTTGGGATAACCTTAAAGAAATACTTATAATGTTGTGTTGTGATATAGGTTGACACTTAATAGAAGGACCATCTTTTTATGCAGTGAAAAATTTGGTTCATCCCAATTATCATTCTATCAAGTTTGCAGAATTACAGGGAACCCGTTAAAAAAATGCATAAAAGAAGAAAGATCTTGAGACATCTCTGATTTGAACAAATAAGTGAAGGCTAATTAGAATTAGTGAAAAATGGGAGAGGTTAAAAGGGAAAGATTGTAATTGTTTTGTTTTATTTTAAAGCCAAGAGTAAGCCAAGAGTAAGGCCCTGAATACAGCCAGATTTAAATTAGTAGTCTAATTTAAATAGATGTAGTTAAGAACCAATTTGTTTTTGCATCTGCCCAGCACTGCTCTTTCTTTGGTACAATGTTCTTCACTAGTTCCTATTGTGTGGACTGCCAAAATTAGCATCTTGTCACTCTGTGGTCATGTGACTGAAGCTTGGCCAATCACAATGCCCATATCCTTTGTCATACCGATTGCTCTATAGGTTGGTATGTTATCCAAACCTGGCCAATGAGAGTTGTACCTACGATGTTTCCATTTTAGGATCTTGAGAAAAAGAGATTTTGGGTTTTGGAGTGGGAAAGAAGTAAATTAGAGGCAAACAGTAGTCAAGGAAATAAAGCCAATCAGAGATGAAGGAAATGAGTGCCTGAGAGAAAGCAGCTCTCACTTGCTTTGTGTCCCAGTTCTGGTGGAACACAGAGTTGCCCTTTTCTTTCCAATATCCTTGCAAAATATTCCTCGTTTTTTTCTTACAGTTTAGTTTAAATTGCAAAAGTCCTGTCTAGCAAAATAGACAAGAATTCTTAATCAACATGGTATTTGTTTGCATATAAATATGCTACTTCTAATGCACTAGATACCTTCTCTAAAGTGTTTCATGGCTTCCTACAGATATCTTTGTTTAAATAAAGTTTGGACTTCACTGGTAAGGAAAAGGTAAATTTTACCTTTGCTGTATAATCATAAACTCGGAAGTAACAACATTAAAATTATTAGAATTGTGCAGCATTAATGCTGATCTATTTAAATAGTGTCCATAACCTTGCTTGGGCCCTAGACCCAACTTGCATTATTATATATTGTTTTCTCTCTGCTTTTCAAATAAAATTCATTGGCTTACTCTACCCCCTTGAAATCAGATTTTGCAGCCTCCTGGCTTTCTTCCAAAAGTCTTAACATTGTTTCACAAGCCATCCTTGTTTTCAATTCATCCTTCTTTATCCACTGTGTAAACTAGGTGAACCTGAATACTTAGGAAAAATCAAAAGCATTTGGTTGCTATTAGAGTAAGGATAGCTGACTCACACGTGTAAAACATTAAAGAAATCTTACAAATATTTGAGTGATTTTTTTTTTTCTGTTGTTGTTTGGGGCTGCAGGGCATTTCACCACATCCTGCCATGCATACAACACTGGAGCGTCTCTCTTTATTACCAGGTACAGTTTTAGGTTAATAAAACAAACAAGGACAATATTTTTATTTTCTTTTCCCCGCATTTTTATTGATTTATTTAAATGTAACATACTATACACTGTTCAGCCTTTTGGGAGGTAGAAGGAGGGAGGGATTCTATATCTTTATGAAGAGTCTCCTTGGAACCAACACTTAGATGGGCACACATTTGTGACTGACACACTTTGACACTGTGGCCAGGGCCCACACTTCCCACAAAGGCAGAGCTCCCCAAATTGTGAAGGTTTTTTTTTTTAACATACAACTTTCAGGGCCGGAATTGCTTTTCCTTCAGTAGCACAGTCCAGCTGCAAAGGAGACCAGAATTCTATCTCGATATCCAGCAAAGATGCCATTTTTAAACGCAAGAGAATTTCATTACTACTTACCAAACTCTTTCTGTCTTTATCTCCGTTCATGTGTGTGTTTGGGGTTGGGGGGAGGATGAGGGAGATGTTTTCTATTTTTGGCTTCTGCAAGCTTTGATACATTTTGCTAGAAGCTGTTTCAGTGTTTTGAGTACTACAATGATGACTGTTTACACATAGTCTCTTTGGTAATCTAATGGCTATGTGAAACACGAATCCAGTTTGTGCCCTATTTGCTGTTACCGTGGTCATCTAATACTGTATTTGTTTCACCAAACATTTGATTTTGGTTGTGGGTGGTCCATGTTCATGTGTCAGGTGCAATTATTATTTTAAAATAAAAGAACAAAGATAATCTAGTTCTGATAGGAATGCATTACATTATAGCTCTCAGACTCAGTTACCAATTAAATTTTAACATACAGATTCCAACCACAAAAATTAAACATTTTTGAATCTCATTTGTCAAAAAGCAAGTTGGAAGCCACGTACCACAAAATGCAACTTTAGCCATAAGCCAAAACACTCTGCCTCAAATGCATTTCTTTTGAAATCTCACCTTTTTTTAAGGAATGAGAAAAATATGACCTTTTATGGGATTACTTTATGGGAAAGTTTCTTAATAGAGCTAATTCTTAAATAACAAATTAACTGGAAGTGCTGGTTAAGCATTGACACAATTAAGTTATAAGAGAGGATCACAAAACACCAGCCTGTCTAAGGTTAAACTTGAGTAAAAAGACACATTTAGTGAGTTTTTCCCTTGTACCAAAATACTGTGTCCAAACAATAAAAATAAACAGACCTTTTCAAAACAAGAAATATGAAGATAAAACCGCAGCATCGATATAATCTTATAGTTATCACTTAAAGTATTTAGAACACATAGTATTTTTCTACATTTTTTTATCACTACAGACACTGCAAATAAGGCTTATGTATTTATTTAGTGGAATACAATATGAAGATGACTGGTACACTCTATGTACTGTTTTCTATACCTGCTCTAACAAAATGAATTTCGATATGGTTCTACTATGGAAACTTCCAAAGCTCTTGACATTTACAGAAAATAAGTTTTATTTGGTTTTGTAAAGACTACATCATACAGCTTGAACAGGTTTCAGTATATGGTTACACATATACCAGGATATATTTGCTCAGTTTAAGCCCCTGGGAGGGTTGTACTTCATACAAATTCCTTGATAGTTCCTTTGGGGGAGACGCTGTCTGTGGGACTTATAAAGCATTCTTATATATGCACACAGCCTCTTCATCACTTACCACTGTGACATATGGCAAAAAACCGTTAGTAAATAATGAGGCTAGGCTACTAAGATGTGTTTAACAATTATTCTTCCTTCTTTTAGTAAATTCTTGGAGACCCAGTGATGTATTGAAAGAGAAGAATTTGGCCTTCTGATCTATTTCTTAGGAAAGGAAGCCTTAGGAGTGATGTATGTTTTTAAATGATGGCAGACATCTCTCACTCAAGCCAGGGCACAGCACTGTCATATTTATTGTTGACGGTTCTATTGCAGAAGTGCAAATTAAGTCAACAGCTAGCATGTGGGGCACTCACACTGCTTCCCTAATCTCGCCTCCTATTCTTGAGGTGTTTGCCAAGTTTTAAAAACACTTTGTCATGAACATGCATGTAGTGTGCTGAAGAAAAAGAAAAGGTCAATTAGAGGGTAGCTGCTGAGGATACTCTTTAAAACCCCAAAAGATATTTAACATCCTATTAAATAAATAACTTAGAAAGAAATAGAAAGGGATGAAGGCAGAATGCACAAGCATATCATACTATTTGTTTTGTTAGAATAGTTTTACACTAACATGTTTACATTTTTTAATCCTATCCAATTCTTCCACGATGCCACGCCCAAAACTCCTTTGGTGGTGCATATATGACCCAAGTGCTTTCCAGTAAATGCTTGGGCGTCTGACTGCTCATTGAATCATTAGGCTTGAATGAGCAATGAAAGTCTTTGATATGAGTTCGTATGCCATAAATAACTTTCCCAAAGATAGTTCAACAGATTGTTCTGTGTCTTTTAAGTTCTATCTCAGAGTTTGAAAAACAAAAACATAAACCAAAACTTAACCAAAAACCCAGCTACAATGTTGTTCGCTTAGGCATAACTTCCATGCCATTTGATCTGCCTGTACCTCAATTTTAAGGCATGACACAGAACTAATGAAAAGAACATCATATGTCAGCAGTGAGTACAAAAACTTTCAAAGACTTCCTTTCTTTCAAGCAAGCAGATATCTGCAATGTATCTTCGCCATTGAGCTACTGTCTTCATGAAGGATACCAACTATTCCTGGCACAGGAGCCTTTGGTTCAACTGCATCCACAAACACTGCCTTCCTCTATGAGTGTACCACCATTGGAAGAAAATGAGCTGAGGTGTTTTTCCTTCGTGTTTTCTGTCCTCTCCTGGGAGCTCCTTTTCCATTCAACGCCACATACATTTGCCTCCCGTTGTGCTGCCAGTTAAAGGATGCATAGGTATTGTATCCATTTTCCTCTATCCTCTCCTTCAGCTTACAGTCATTGTTAAATTCTTTCTGCAAGGGAAAAACAAAATCTTTTATTTCTATGGTGATGATCCTTGATTCCATTTGACACCCACCATCCAGAGAACTCCAATTCAAGGATTTTGTTTGTTGTTGCCATTTATACGTAAGTTGTGCACCTAATACACAATTTTAATAATAGAAGAGTAAAAGTCATAACCACGAAACAGATTCTACATTTCAAGCACATGATTCATTTTAATTGATCATTACAACCACATTTTGGGGCCTTTTTAAAAATTTGGTGTGCTTTAAATATGACATGGTTTAAATGCCTACAATGATTGTCAAGATGAAAACATTCCACTAACAATATTTGATGAGCCAATTATAAAGAATAGTATTATAATACTTTTTTTTCAGAGTAATAACCAGGGTCCCAAGAAAAAAATAGAATTACAGGAAAAAGATGGGTTATCAAGTTTGCAAACTTTATGTATAAATCCACAATAAATATACACACATTGATAAGAAAGCAGATTTTATAGGAAAACCATAATAGTTCTAGGTAGCCAAGAGGCTCTGGGGGTGGGAGTCAGGGATGTCTTCCTCTCCCAAATACCAGATTTCTCAATTTTGTAAATTGTTTACAATTTTCCATAACTTGGAATTTTGATAAATTTTACTCTGAGGTCTAGGAATGATTGAAAATGAGAACATGGAACAACCTTGCTTTGTGAATTACCATATCAAAGAAATTCTAAACTTGGTGACTAGCACTGCCTCTGTTGTATAAACTTGAAGACTTTGATCCTGGGAAATTCCACTTTACAGTCGTAGTCCTTTGGTTTTGTTTCAAGTGACCAAGTATTTTTTTCTTTTTTATGTTTTATACCACTTTATTCTATTTTTTTTTTATTGCAGCAACATTGGTTTATAACATTATATAAATTTCAGGTATACATCTTATATTTAAATTTCTGTATAGATTACATTATGTTCACCACCCAAAGACAATTACAATCCATCACCACACACATGTGCCTAATCATCTCTTTCACCCTCACTCCCTCCTCCCTTCCCCTCTGGTAACCACTAATCCAATCTCTGTCTCTATGTGATTGTTGTTGTTGTTTTTAGCTTCTACTTATGAGTGTGAGCAGCCACTGTGGAAAACAGTATGGAGATTCCTCAAAAAATTAAGAATAGAACTACCATACGATCCAGCTATTCTACTGCTGGGTATTTATCCAAAGAGTATGAAAACATGAATGCATAAAGATACATGCACCCCTATGTTCATTACAGCCTTTTTCACAATAGCCAAGGCTTCTAAGCAACCTAGGTGCCCATCAAAGGATGAATGGATAAAGAAGCTGTGGTATATATACACAATGGAATACTACTCAGCCATAAGAAATAATGAAATGCAGCCATTTCTGACAACATTGATGGACATTGAGGGTATTATGCTAAGCAAACTAAGTCAGAGGGAGAAAGTCAAATACCGTATGATCTCACTCAAAAGTAGAAGATAAATGACGAAGTATTTTCAAGGGGATCTTTTGGGATGAGGATTGATGTCCCATTAACTCCATAAATCCAAGATCTCACTCTGGAGTTAATAACAAAGAGGAGCAACCTCACTGGGCTCAAGATTCTGGCTTCAGAAATGTCCCTCTTCCCTTAAAGCAGTTAGGAGCTAAGGAATCGGAGCTTTGACTCTTTTGGGTCTATCTTCTCTATCCAAACCAAGGGCATTGTAGGCATCTTTCAGTTGAGGCCTCTACTGGCCAGTTCAAACAGTTTCTCTTACCTTGGGCCTTTTTTAAATTTCTGCTAAATTCCTAATTTCTGAATGTGTGTACATTTAAATATCCAGATTTCTGCAGGCTAGATCAGAATTTCATACATTATCAGAACCATCATAAGCAGGTATATTTTATGGTAATGTTACCAGTTTAAACCTTATTTCCTGGAATTTATTTATCCTATGTGCTTCTCTTTTATAAAGTAATATTCAAATATCACATTCAAATGATGACTTATTTGGTTGCAAGTAAGAAGAAAAAGGTAAATTATTTAACGTAAGGATTTTGATATAACAAAAATTTTACATTAGAAAAGAAATTAAATCCTTAATATGGGTTTATTTTTTTCTATTTATTCATCTTTATCTAAAACTATGGTTTTCAAAGCAGAGATGATTTTTACATGGATAATTATATTCATTTCAATAAAGGAGGTGCAGTTTAGAGACTATGGGAGGACCGAGGTTATTTTAGATGATTTTATATTTAAAATAGAACTGTGTATAGAAAAGTAGGAGTAGATGCTTATTTTTCCTCCCCAAAATGAATTTATAGAGCAGTGTTACTTAAGGTGAGGTACACCTGTACCAGACTCCTCCTCTCAGATGTTTTAATATTTAGACCATAGCTCAATTGTATTAAAATCTCTGGAGGAGGAGCCTAGGAATCTATGTTGTTTACAGCATTTAGGAAAATCATAAGTATTAAAGTTTTTTAAAAAAATCTAGGCTAAAGCCAGTTCTCAACAGTAGAGTTTTGGTAATTTAGAAAAAGGTTTTAGATTTTTCTCAGGATACCTGGGAAATTTCTTTGGTCCTTAAATCATGCCCTATGAGAGCTTGTCCTATTTAAATTCAGCTTTATAATTTACTTAATTCCATCAGTCAGGAGAAAAGTCAGTATACAATAGATGCATTGTTCAAAGAATGAATAATGAAATATAAGAGAGAGAAATATTTCCCAAAAGGGAATAGGGGAATCTATTCAAGAGAGAATAGAATATAGAGCTGGTTTAATCAATCACTCTGGGTGTTCGCCTAATTGCTATTTTCAAGAAGGCTTATGGAATCAATAAAAATTACCTGAAAAATAATAAAGATAGGAATTACAAGAGCTGTCACCTGATGTACAGAGTTATATTAGGTATATACTCAGGAATTTTGATGGTATACCCTTTAAAAGCAAAGATTCTAGTCCTATTCCACCCTGAGCAGGACATTCAATTTGAGTAGATTTTTCATTTAATTTGAACAAGCCATAATTTTTTCCTCTTCCTGGTGGTAATGCAAAATTGCAAAACCAGTGCACTATGGTTAGAGTATGGGCTTCTTTCTGAGACAGGCTGGAAGTGAGAGCATAGTCTGTGATGGGTTGAGCTATCTGGAGAGGTAGTTATCTTTACGCATTGCACAACTCTGTGCATTGTATGGTTCTAAGTGCTGAGGAAATGGTGGGGGACAAGGCAGATCCTGTTCTTTTGAAGTTCACAATCTACTTTGAGAAGATAGTCAACAACAAACACATTAATGAGAGAAATATCTAGTAAGTGCGATGCACATAATTAAAATGGGGTGATGTGATAGAAAGCAACTGGGTGTCTACTTTAGATGTAGAGATAGAATGAAATAAGTCACCAACCTTAGAGCTCAAGAAGTACATAGGCACAATACATGAGCTATGTTGGGAAAGTGAAAAAAGTGGGGGAATGGGAGGAAAAGTATTAGACAGTTTTATGACAGTTCATTTGAGAGTTATGCATTTATCCTGGATGTCATCTTTTAAAATAAGTATACTTTATTAATTAAAAATTATTTCAATCTTTCATTGCAATTAAAATTTTTACATTTTTCTTCCTCAATCTAAATTCATTTTAGCTGGCTTTACTTTAAAGCATTGGTTTTGACTGTATGTGTGTATCAGTATCTCTTCAAAGACTATACACCTGGTCCTTTTACCCAGTAATTCTGATATAGTAGATTAAGGAGGGACCTGGCCATGTTCATTGAAAAGAAAAATAAAAATGCCTCAAAAGTGATAATGCTGTGAACCCCTAAATGGAACCACCTTTTAAAATGGTCCATTATCTTCTAGGCTCATTAATAGAGCAATGTATAATGAAAAAATTTAACTAAAATTTCTCTGACCCCACACCCCCACCCCAAAAGCATTTACCCTAGCCAAAGGGACTGACCCAAAGTATGCCTGGCTCCCCAATTATATCTGGACCTGATATAAATGAAATGCAATGTTATTCTATATCCAGACCAGTGATGGGATCAATTTGCAATGATTCTCAAATTGTGGTTACCAAATCAGTAGCATCAGGAACACCTAGGACCTTGTTAGAATGCAAATTCTTAGACCCTACCACAGACTTACTGAATCAGAAAATCTGGGAGCGTGTTTTAATAAATCCTCCCAGTGATTCTGACACTCGAGTTTGAGAGCTGCTGGCTCTAGGCAGGCACTGCAATAATCCTTATGCTAATCAACAAAATAAGTTTATTTTCACATTTTAAAGTGACATTCCTTAGTACTTGATATGGAACACAGGGATGTACGTACCAAAGCTGGCTTGATACCAGCTCTGTAACTGAATTAATTACTATTGTCTGGGTAAATAAAATTCTGGAGTTTGAATGGCATGCAAAATGATGAATTTCTTGATATGTCTCTCCATTTCAGATTTTAACAGAATACAAAACACTCAAGCCCCTGTTTTAGCTTCAACTGTAACACACACACAGTATGTGGTCTTCTACTCAGTTCCAGATCTTTGTTCGCAATGATTCTTCCCCAAGCTGTCTGCAGCGCCCATGCCAATATGACCAGATGCTTCCGTGAGAGTCTGACCAGTTAGCTCAGAACATTAGCATTGACTGACGAATGCCAGCAACAGCCTGTGTGGTAGACTAATGGGTGAACAACAGAGGAGATTACAGAGTTGGAAGAGCTGCCTTGTCAGCTCTTGAAACTCTGGTGACCAGCTCACTGTGGCTCTATTTACTAGCAGTAGAATGATAACAAAGCGATTCTATGTCTGGGGGAAAACATTCCAAAACTGTGGTAATGATTTAGTGCAGTGGATTTTGAAAATAAAAGCAGAATACTTACTGAACCATAGAGTTTCCCCTTCTTGTTCATGGCTAAATAATAGTTGCTGTTAATGGCTTTGACGGCAACAACTCCTATTTCCACTGAAGTTATTTCCAAGATACCTAAAACATACAATTAAAAAAGGCTAAACTTAAAGTCACATAAATTTAGTTGAAAGAAGGAAAAATCAGAAGAAACTATTGAGTTTATTTTTTGATGGTTCTGAAATCAAAAGATTAAAAACATTGGGGAAAAACCCCTCAACCTCTTTCAATGTGCCTAAAAACCCAGCAACTATATGGAAACAAGTAGTAAGTCTTTAAAAGAATTCCTTGCATTTTACTCTGAGTATATAGGGAAAAATATTGTTTTAATTAAAATGCTTCCTTTGCTAACACTGCATTTTCAACCCCATAAATATTGAAACAACTCTACTCATCTTAGCCTAGATTTCACAAAAGCTTATCAGAGCACACATCTGTACTATGGTATTAAATTAAATCTATAGCATATGTCAATAATATGTCAGATTTACCTCAATCTGTAAAAACAGTGGTAAACTATTTCTTCTTTGTAGGACACTTAGATAAACTAAATCTCTTGGCTACACTTAACTGATAAATTCATTTTTGGCAAATGTGTTGACATTCTGAGATACAGACAGACTGATCCCAACATCCACATTGTCTTTAAAATAGCAGAATCACTACTTTGGGTTGGGAGAAAATCCGTCAGTATTGTTAAAGTGGGTTTTTTTTTTTCCTAGAAAGAATAGAGAACTGAAGGAATTAATAACTGATAGACAAGAGACATTTTCCCCTAATACACAAGTCTTGATTGGTGCATCTAAAGATAATTTTCTCTGAAAAGTTTGTAGGTAATTATAAGGAAGGTATTTGATATTCTACTCAAAACTGCCCACCTATTTTAGATTAAGAAGACCTCAGGTACCAAAACTACTTATTTTGTAACTCTTGGGAAAGCTTTCTCAGAGTAGACTAGCAGGGTTGTGATTAGCAAAGACCTCTGGATCCAGACTGTGTGGGTTAGAATCCCGGCTTTGCATTTATTGATGAATGATGGCAGGAGAAGCCACTGAAATGCCTATATCCTAATTTCATTTGTAAATTGGGCAACATAATAGTACCTCCCTATAGTCTTGTGAGAATTAAGTCAGATATACATATAAAATAATTAGACCTTGCCTAGTGCTTAGTGCCTCCTTAATTATTATTATTAGAGGGAAGTTTTCCTCCAATAATTCTAGATTTTGGAACTTCCTCTTCAACAAGCTGTCTAAATCGTGAACAGAACATACAAATTCCCACTGGCTTAGCCCATTAAATCTGGAAGATGATCATATGTTATCATTCATCATGTATTACCTATCATAAGATATACCAGCCTAAATGCGGTCAACAAATTGAATGTCTATACTCTTCCCATAGGAAAAGAGTCACTTGTTCTCAAGATATGAATGCCTTTGTTCCTCCCTCTCCTTCACAGGTTGATGAGCCACGTGGAGGTCAATAGAAATGCTTGAGTTCCCTCATTGTGAAGTTGACATAACCAGAGAGACTTGTGCCCGAGCTACATGCCACGGACCATTCTGTGCATGTCCTGTAGAAAGCCTCTGACCTAACACAGCACACCCCCTCTTTAATAGCGTGAGATAGAGCTCAATTGGCAAGCTCAAACCAAGGAAAGATTGTGAAGGGTGAAGGAGACATTGTCTTTATTTTTAACATCCCTTTTCCTTATGCTGGTAGTTGTTTTCAAGGTACAAACACATACACACACATTTATTTGCATATTTTAAAAAGTGCTTTCTTGCAGTTTATTTCTTTAATTCTCACAACAGTTCTCTAAGGAGGTATGACTAGTCTCAATTACAAATGAAAAAAATGGAGGATACTGAGATTATGTAACTCACACACAAGGTGATACAGTGACATAGGTCAGTAATGATGGACCTAAGCCTCTGGCTTTCATACTCTTGCTCTCAATCTCTGACTATTTTGCCTCTCCATCGTATCTTCCCCCTTTTTCCCATTCCCACAAGGAACCCTGTTGGAAAACCATCTGACAAAATGACTCATCAAGATAATAGTCTTTAACAGGCATGCCACAGAGGATAATGTCTGAGTGACAGAGAAGGAAATCTAATATACTTTATTTATGTCACAAGCAGAAGACATAGAGCAAGGCAGGCGGTAGAAATCTGGGGCAAAATATTTAGGTTGCTATTTCCTTTGCCTGCCCAAGAGGCAAGTAAACACTGTCAGTAAATTGCAAGGTGTTCCCTATGCATGCTTTTATAACCGGAAATTGTTAGAATGAAAAGGAGTGAAGGATTATTTTAGGAAAGAATAAACCAAAATTTTTGAAGGTGAACGAAAAGTAGTGGGATTAAGCTATAGCAACAGACTGAGTTGGCAAAAGGAAAAAGGTTGTGGTATAAATATTACCAAATCCTTGCCCAATTATTTCTGAGTGGCCCTGCACATGGTAGATCACACTTAGTTCCGAAACTCCTGGGTTTCTTTCTGCTTTGCACAAAATAGAAACTCAATATTCAAAGAATCCATCAATCAATTAACCATTTTTGCCACTCTGCAACTACTTAAGGCCAGCTTGAAAAAGTTCCATATGCTTTAAAGTAGAAAGAGGGAAGACCTGAATGATTTAAGGTTCTTTCAAATTATGAAAATAATTTTTTGGATACATCATATGTCAGTAAGTCATAATTTGATAATCTTGTGGGTAATGGACAATGACGGCTTTTATCATACACATCTGCAAATGTAAGAGTGACTTTCTGAGGAACTTGAGTCTATAGGGCTTCTCTATTTTTCATGAAGAATCTCTCCAGTGTTCTCTGGTTTTTGGTGAGGATAATGAAGTTTGCCTATAAAAGTACTTTTGGAAAGAGACACTAGAATTTTGACAGTTGTTAGATTAATAAATTATAGTTCTATATGTGTATACTTTGATGCAAAATTAAACGGCCACTGAAGGATAGACTCTTAGGAGAAAATAAGTGAAGAGCATAAGAGATCTCTCTGTATTTCTTACAACTTATGTGAATCTACAATTGTCTCGAAATTAAAAGTTATAAAACACTGTTTTGTTGCTCAAAGAAACTAACACTTGAAAATTATATCATCAATAAAAGGAAACAACAATTATATTTCCTATTCATAAAATTCAGATATCTTATAAATTTAAAGACATATTCTTGTAGTGAAATTTAATTATTAAGTTGTAACCATATCAGTTTTGATGTCTCTCAAAAGGTGAATATCCCAGATGGTGTTGTAAATCTACTTAAGGGCTTTTGGACAGTTTAATTCAAACACGTATGAAGACCTATGAGGAGAAGGGCACTCTTTTAGGAAATGGGACTATAAAGTCACGTTATGGCTCTCCTCTTGCAAAACCTATGTTCTATTGGAAATAAAAGCCAAATACACAGAAAATTACAACAAAACATATTAAGTGATAGTAAGTGCTAAAATGTAAGACAAGGGAGACAAAGATAAACATGGTTTTTGTTGGCTGGGGCTCCAAGGCAGACTTATTATTAGAGATGAGACCTGAATTGAGTTTTGAAGGTTGAGTAAGAAGCGTCCAGGGGGTAGGTAGGAAGACATGAGCAAAGACATTAAGGTGAAACAGTATTGTGTTTTCAGAAAAATTGTATGTTTGGTTTACCAACTGAGCACAAAGAACAAGGCAGGAAGTTGTGAGAAGTGAGGTTGGCGAATAAAGTCAGACTCAAGTTACCAACCTTTTGTACAGACTCTTAGGATTTTGGCAAATAGGAAGTATTTTAACTAAAAATAGATAACTTTTTCAAGAACATATTAGAAAAAGCCAATATCTAGCAAATTCCTTTAAGTTAATAATAGCAATCTTTAAAGTTTATTTTGAATTATACTTGAAATCCTAAATAATAAAATTTGATAATCAACATTACAAAAGTGACTGTGGCAAAAATCAGCTTCTATTAATGGGTAAATTCTACCATACGCATCATCACCATAGTAATGGGGAGGACTTTGCAAACTGAAGAACTCCAAATGGAAATGACCTAGAAGTCACAATTTTCATGTAAATCATCTTTTCTTTTAACTTGGAGGGCATGACATGTTTTGACAAATCATTGAGTAGTTAATCTGAGGAGGTGGCCATTCATAAGTTAACTTTCCCACTTTATGCTTCTCATCCTTCTCCAGAAGAGAAGCACCTGACCTATTTTTTCCCCAACAATCAGGTTGGACCAAGATTACCTCTCTTTTTGGGCTATTGGAATTAACAAGCTATTGGCCTGGATGGTAATTTTCTCCTTAAATATATCTTCATGGACACAATGGGAGAAAGTAAAAGGAAAGTAAAACTTTAATAGAATGGATATAGACAGGGGGAAAGCCAGACATAAAAAAATAAATGCAAAATCCTATTACCCTCTTCTTGATAAACTGAACATGAATAAATAAAGGAATCCTAGAGAATATGTGAGTAAATTAATTCTGCTAACACGTATTAAGCACCAATGTGCAGGGTTTGTATTAGCTCTCACTGTGGAGGATGCAAAGACGAACAAGACGCAGTCATTACCCTCAAGGAGTTTTAAAACTGAGTAGGATAAGGACACAAATGGTTAAAGTAATTACAACACAAAGAAAATACATTAAGTGCCATATGGGAGATAAAGAAGTCATCCTGAAGAAGATGGCTGGTGTTTGAGGTGAACCTTTAAGGGGCAGGATTTTAATAGGTGGGAATTTGGAAAGTTGAGAGGAATATTCTAGGCAGAGGAAAGTGAATGAGTAAAGAAAGGCATGGAGAAGGGAAAAGAGCTCAGTGTGAGCTTGAGCCACAGTTGGCTCTCCCCACCAACTGCACTTTGTGGGGGCCCCTCTCTGTAAAAGTAAGGGTTCTGCCTCATTGAGCAGCAATGGTGCTTTCCTGGGTGAGGAATGTACTTTTCAAAAAATGTATTGTGAAACTTGAAAGCAGCTCAATAGATGTCAGAGCCTTATGAATTCAATTCAGTCACGTCTGTTATTTTTCTCAAAGCATTTTAACTCAAAATAGATTATAATGCTATAGTTTGATA